CAGAAGATGGCTAAAATATATTGATTTTGAAACTTAATGTAAATGCTGCACGAACCATATCCTCTTAAGGCTCCTCAACGTAATTATTTATTTCTATAAATTAACCTTTGCAGTCTAATAAATGGTTTTTCACAATGCATTTAAGTAAAAGCAACAGATTGCTTGACTTTAAGATATCTTGTTGCTTATAATAACAATTAACTAAGACTGGGAGAAGCTGATTTAACATTTTCCTAATATCGATACAAAGATATAAATTACTACGCATCTAGTTTGAATAATTCAATTTTTTCTGGTTGGATGGATTTATCCTAAGTACTCTATGTAGGAACCATATCCACATTTACAAGTGAAGCACCCATAACAACAAGTTTTTCTAAAAATATAGGCTGGCTTATGAATATTAACCCATCAGAGAGTGAGTTTACAATAACTAATTCCTTATCCTCTCTTTCATCAATGACAAGTGAAACTCTGATAAATTAAACACTAGCAAATGCTTTTTTGAGTACAACAGAAGCAATATGATATGTTTCTTAAACATCAACCAATGCAATCACATATATCGTACCTCAAATTCTAATTACTTCAATGAAGTTAATAATTACTCCAAATATAAGTAATAAGATATATACTATTGGAAGCACAGCAATAATCTTTACTATTCCTGCTTTTACTCTACAATAATCTTGTCTAGATGTAATATTCAAATATTCTAGTAATATTAGTAATGTATCCGGTTTTGTCACATTTGCAGCCAGTACAAGAGAGTTCACTGTTTTTACATCTAATTAGGAATACAATGGGATATACACATTAAAGATGCTAGGTAGAATTAACAACGAGTAAAGAACTGAAGTTTCATTTAAACTAATTATGATAGGTGCCTGTTCATATGCATCTATAACTTCTACTTAATAGTCCGATATTACATATACGCTAAATTCGGGTCTACAAAATTTCACACTTAATGCTTTTAATGCCAATACAACAGGTTGTTCGATAACATATACTTTATCCGATGCATCAGCAAGTCATAATTTTAATTCAAATTTGACATAAACCTCTGTACCTAATCTTTTTACATTTGATTAAACTTCAATGGTTATAAGCAGTAATCCAACTTTGAGCTCCTAAATTGGAACATACAATTTAAGCCTTGTTGGAATTTTATTATATCCTTTATCAGACGGTGAAATCAATCCAAAAAATGGAACAGTCTATATCAAGGTAATAGTACAAGATGAATAATGTAATAAAGCTACTGTGCAAGTTGTAACTCCTTTGATTGATGATATGATTTACATATATGGATACCCAGAGATGAAATAATTATATAGTTTTATAGTGAATGGTGGGAAAAATTGTTTGATTGATTACGAATTAGTAGATGATGAAGGAATTCAGAATGCACCCCCTATAGTATTTGAAAACACAAGTATAAAAATATAAGTTAACAATGGAACTTAAGATTAAGTCAAATAATATAAAATAATTGCGAGTGTTAAATCTAAAACATTGAGATATGAAACTAATTTATTTACTGTAAGTTTGATCTCATTATAAACCGCATGTCTA